AACATTATTGCAATGAGGTATCAAATAATCTATTACTTAATGTGAAACACAAGAGAGAAGTCATTTCTGCTGTGTATGAAAAAAGACAAGGTTATTAAAAATACAATTAAATCAATGTAATAACTAATACTTTTTAAAACCCTAAAGTAAAAGAATTAGTCAGCAGTGAGAGGGTTAAAGCACACACATTCACTTTCAGGTTAAACAGACTAACAAGTACAACAGAGGTGAAATGGCAACTTATTCTCCCATACATGCATGTTTTGCTAAAGGAAAGCCTTGTGCCATACATGAAAATGTACCATAAAGGAATAGTAATATTTCAGCCTCCCTTCAGATCTTCATCTATATATTACAATTAAAATCAATTTATAGGGATGCAAAAACACTTAAGTAGAAAATAGCCAGCCTCACTTGAAGTTTTACTTACTATTTTTTTCTTTTGAGATTTTAAATCTTCCAATGCATCATCTGAAAAAGAAATATGCATTACATTCACATTAGGAGAGAATTTCAGCATATACTCTGAACATTAGTTTTGCCCTGTGAGATCATGTTATATATTGCCCACAAGCAATTTAAGTTTTGCATATAGCAACTACAGTTTTACATGAAAGTAAATCATCTTAAATCCTGAAGCTGCTCCGAAGTTACAGTTCAGTACTATCAGTTTACACTTGTTGCTATTAAAAAGTTTTATGTATCACTTCTTCATTAAGCAAGCCAATTCTTGGTAAGACCTAGCTTTGAACTACAATAAAACTAGTAAAATACAAAAAAAATACACTTAACCTCATGAGTCAGACTAGAGAAAAAGCCTGAGGTCTAAGTTTTAATATAACTATTTGAGTAACAGATTTACTGGCTTTAATATTTCATGTAAGCCTCTTACACCCTAGTTTCAAATGTTAGGTCAATTCCAAGTTTCAAATCTTTATTTCACTCTTCCAGTACTTTCAGAATACAGCAAAACCCTTATTTTATAAGCTATTAAAGGATCATTTCTCTGCCAAAGATAAGGTGAGTTGTTCTAACTAGCAGCCATCTCATCTCTAAAAGGAAGGGAAGAAAAGTCAAATGCTTTGAGGATTCTCCTATAAATTGGTGTTAGGAGCTTGGCACTCATTGATAACTTGGTATCATCAGCTCTCTACCTCCTTTACAGCAGAAGGAGTTTAAAAGGAAAGGGTTTTTTTGCCCATCCTCAGCACTACTGGACACTAGCAGTTCACTTGTTTTTTGCCCATCCTAGTGGATGGCACTAGCACTACTGGACACTAGCAGTTCACTTTTTATGAGTTTATTTTTTTTAAATCCAACTTTGAGAGATATTCCATCTCCCAGTAAAAGCACAAAACCACAAGAAACAGCAATGAAAAAAGCAGACTAATTAAATAATCAAATTAAATAAGCAAATGTAAGTGATAAGAGCATTAAGTTACTTCAGAAGCATTACAAATAACGGAAATGTACCAGTTTGTACTTTTGGAGTCACCTATAAACCTGCTTTGATACAACAAACCATTTTATTAAGTGTATACCATACTAAAACTGGGTACATATGTAATTTGAAATAAGATGCCAAACAAGATCTATTTTGCACTGGGCTGGCCCACAGAGGATAGACAATTTGAAGAATTATGCAACTTCAAATTATAACTAAGGCATCCTCCACTCCTCTGAATTTGACATTTACATTGGAATCTTGCCTCTCAGGAATCTCAACACAGATTAGCACCTTGAAATGCACCTCAATGTGCTAGGGTATCATACAGCCAGACAAGTAGCATACAGTCAGTTTTTAGCAGGTCCTTATGAAAGGAAATGCATTTAGTACAAAAATGTGTAAAAATATATATATATATATAATCTCTCACAAGCCAAGGCAATCAGTTTAAAGTGTAGCCAGATGTTTCTGATCACCACTTCCTGCTTTCAACAAACTCTTAAACCAAATATCCCTTCAAAAGTGGCCAAATGACAATTATTGCAAATCATTCTCAAAAAAAAAAAAGAATTCATAGCAGTGTAGTAAATAAGCATAAGCTATCTCCTTCACTGTCCACACTTCAAGGTAGATCAGAAGGCAGCTTAACTGGCTTGCTTGACTAGGCTTAAAAAAAAAAAAAAATAGGAATCCCGTAATCTTTCAAAACCACCCTTATAGAGCTTCACGAGGCATTTCCCTAGTTCAGAGCACAGTTCTCAAGAATTGTGTAGTTATCCACAGAGCTTTACAGCATTAATTATCTTCAACAACTCCAAATACATTGCATTAATCCATTCCAGAATAAAAGACAAGCTTCAAGACACTGCATCAGCAGTCCACTATCTCACCTAGACCTTCTTCTTTACTGCTCTCGCTTTCATATTGGGCATTTGATTTCTCCTTTCCAACTACGGGACTTACATCTTTGAATTCAAACACTTCACTCTTACCCCATTTCCAGAATAATACAAAATATTCCTTTGGGAATGTTCCAAAACCTTTACAAACAAGTTCAACAAAAAGGTACAGATTTGCTTATATGCTAGAAATCGCAGTAAGTGTCTTGAAGTGAACTAGAAAAAATGTACACACATATTCCTCTATCTGGTCATGAAATGCAAACACACACTCATCCTTAGAAATGAATCTCAATACCATATAAATACATCAACTATTTTACTTGTACATAAAATTCTATGTCCTATACTTGCATACCAAATGTAAATATTAAATTTTAGAATTCCAAAAGTGATGTTATTAAACTCATAAGCTGGCATGATTTAAATACATCGTGTTCCTCTGCCAGTCATAAAGTTGGGTGCATTAAAAGTTTTTGTATTTTTGCTCACATCACAGTGTACTGTTACAGGCTAGACTGTTTTCAAAGAAAGTCACAAATGAAGCAAAAACTGCATACCAGTGCCATGGATACAGTGTTTAAATTTTGCATTAGAAACTACATATCCTTTAACAACTCCTAGGCTATCTCTGAATATCCTGCATTAGCTTCTTTATAGTTACATGACACACCACTTTCATCAACTCCTGAAGTCATCCTAAAAAAACTCTTTTATCCCCCCTTTTCACTCATATAGTAATACACACATTCCTTGAAGAATCTTGGCTCTCAGGCTATCTCTTCCTATATGTAATGGAATAAGGTGATAGAATAATTGCTAAGTGCAATTATTGAATGGCTGCTACTACTACTATTTATATCTCTTTTCCTTCATTTCTATTTCTCCACTACATTTTATTCCATCACATTTTAAAGCATTCCAGCCAAAGTTATGATTTCATAGTGAAACAAAGTGAAAAGTTAAGCAGCATCCTTCACGTTCACTCATGAACCGCATATGTGGTAAAAAAACAACAGTTCAGCCAATGCTAAACATTTTAGTGTTAATCAAAAGGCTACTCTCCTCCTGGAAGTCATATTACCCAAAATATTTACATTTTCATAGAAAGCCTCATTGCCAAATATTTCTATACGCTAAAAAAATGAAGAAATACTTACTATTCCTTTCTGTCCTTTTGGAAAAGAAAAAAATGAGCAGTGTTCTTATAAACCAGATTCTTTAAAACAGAAAGAAGAGTTAATTAAATTAAAATATATTACAGTAATCATTTCTTAAGTCATTTAGGAAGCAGGACAGTTAATGCAAGAGACTTACCAGATGATATTTAACTTTGAAAATAAAAAGAACAAATCTTTATGCTAATATTAAAGGAGAAAGCTATAAATAAAATTAGTATCTTGACTACACAGGTGCATCTAAAAATCCTACTATTTCTATTAAAATACAATCAAATACTACTAATACAGGTAGAAACATTAAGGAAGTAGCAGCAGTAACACAATGGATTGCTAAACCTTCCTTACTAACCTGTTTCAAAGCAAAGTAGAAGTAAACACCAACCATCAGGCACAGAATGCTGCAAACTCCAGAATCACACAACCGCTGAGGTTGGAAGGGACCTTTAATGATCATATAGCCCACTCCCCTCTGTTTAAACAGGCTCGTGCAGAGCAAGCTGTCCAGGACCATGTCCTGGCAGGTTTCTAATATCTCCAAGGATGGAGTTGCTTGTGTTGCAGTTTATGCCTATTGCCTCTCATCCTGTCCCTGGGCATCAAGAAGTCTGACCCCCTCCCTTCAGATACTGATGCACATTACCAGGATTCCCCCCTCACTCTTCTCTTCGGGATATGCAGTATCAGCCTTTTCTCACAGGAGACATTTTCTAGGCCCTAACTTTGATAGGGGAAAACAAGAAGATCTTAAAATAGATCATTGATTATAACTATCTGATTACTTGCTATGCTACTTTTTTTTTTTTTTTTTTTAAAGGGGAGATGTTTATTGGAAACTTTAAATTGAAGAGTGTGCAAATAGCTGAAAATTACTTAGTCACAAGCTCTTATTACACAGATAAAACTAGTTAACCTAAAAAGTTACCATCTTATGCTCAAAATTAAGATTCGGGAAGTTTGAGGGAGGAATTCAGTAACAACAAAAGCTAAGATATATCACAGGCACTCTGTTAACTCTTCCAAGCAGAGTTAACTGGCCCAAATCTTGCCTATTTTAAAGCTTTGAATCCAGTTCACTTTAGCTGTGTTTCAGCAGGCTTTGAGACAACATAATAGTTTTCTATGTTCCTAAAACAAAACCAGATTTATGCCCATTTTCATTTGGAAGGGGTCTCTGCAACCATCAGGACATAATTTCTTCAAAGGCTTAGAACTGTGTAAAAGTTGATGTTTTTCCTGGTAAATTAATAGGCCTAAGCCAAGCAACAAATCTCATACTTTACTCCTTCCAAGAATATTCGTACCAAGCTCCTAGTACCAAGCCCCATATTTAAAAAAAAAGAACTATCAAGGTTTTAAATAGAGTTTAAATAAAGTGATTGATTCATAGAATATCTTTTGCTTTTATATGGTAACTCAGTTCAAAATGCTTTCAAAAGTTAAGAGAAATATCTAAGTTAGTTAAGTTAGTCAAGACAACTGGAAAGTGAAGTAATCAATCCCAGGTCTGATTAACAACTAGAAAGAAATTTGACTCCTTCCCACTCTCAAACTATTAATAAATAAGAATTTTTTAAGAATATAGCTTTGCTCACACAGTGTAAGGAGCATCTCTCTCTCTCAAATAGCAGTAAACGCTTATAGTGTTTGAATTGTATTTAAGAATATACTATATGGACAAATTTTTTTTTGTTGCGTTATGTATATTTAATAAAGGCAGGAGTCTTCCCCATCTAATCTACATTTCAAAATAAAGACATCTTGTCCGATTTCACAAAGTAAACTTTAAATTTCTTCTTTAAGAACTTGGATGCAAAAGCTTTATAAGCAGACTATTTCAGATCAGTTTTACAAGCTTAAAATAAAAATACGTCAAAGAATTAAAATGAACCAGGCAGAACAGTTTGCATCTGAACTAGTCATCTTCAAGCACACCATTCGAGCACGTATTATCCTTCCTAGTATCTCAGATATTTATATATACATTTTTAAGTTAATGATACTATACATTTCTAGAACTTCACTCGCTCTACCAACATCAGTAACATGCTCAGACCCTGAGGGAACGACCTAAGGCAGAAATAAGCTGGTGACTGACTGCAGGCTGGAAAATGCAGACATATTCCAGTTTGATTAGAGCAGGAAAATCTCTAGAGCTAGTACTGGGTGGCACCAGGCTTTCAACATGGAGTCACCTCTTGACCGAGGATGAAGACAAGCTGGCAGCTGCTTGCCATTCATACCTGCCAAAAAAACTGAAGGGGAATAGCTGAAAAGAAAAATCAGATAAACAGTTGCAAGTCATAAGAGAACCCGAGCCCAATTCTAAACGTTTGCAAGCTGACAACTAACTTGGAATATAACAGCAACCCAACGTGAAAAAAAATGAAGTGAGAATTGGAAAAAAAAATGGAGAAAAAAAATCCAACAAAAACATCACACAGCAGGACTAGAAGACAACTACCACCGTGAGTTAATGAAAAGGTTAATTTCCCTACTAGTCTAACACACATGAGTGAAGGGAGGCTGGTGATATTTCCTTTCCTAGACATTTGCCTTGTTAGCATGAGCAAGTCCTACATGATAACGACAAAGACGTTCAAATCACTGTACTTAAGAATACAATCAATTTATATTGCTCTGTCAAAGATTAATTTGAGCTTTATCTTCTGTATTAACTCTCTCTAGTCAGGATATTGCTGACTATGTATCAACATCACAGGATTCCATAACAGCAACATATTACTACATTATAGATAACAATATGACATAAAAATGATCTTCAGGTGGATCTTCTTGCATGCTATGTCATGCAGGATGCTCAAGAAGCTTGCAAAGGGTTAAATATTTACATTTCACTCTGCCACTCAAGGCTAAAATTAACTCCCCTTCCTCCCCCAAAAAAATCAAAAGTTTCACACAGATGTTGCAGAAATGAAAACAGTATTTAAGGTTTTCACTCCAGCAAATTAGTAAATGAACATATATACAGAGAGACTGCTCAGAAGATTGCTTCACTTTCCTGGAAAAATCTGGGCTTGGGAGCAGAGGGAAAAGATAGGGAGACAGCAAGTGGGTTTAGTGAGGTAGCCCATTTTGTTTCTTTTTAGAAATTAAGTTTTTCTTAGAGAAAAAGAGCCACTCATGAGGAAGAGCAGTCTGAGTAGCTCACTGATAAGTAGCTGCCAATATTTTCTCCCATTTCCAATGAGAAAATCCTTACATCCAAATTATAATAGGAAAATTTCTGATTGAAAAGGAGTCAGGCTTTTTTTAAAAAAAAAATAACTAATTATGTAAAACTGATCCTCAACATATTAGATGACCTTTTAAGTCACTTCTCTGTTAACATTCACCTAACACCTAAAAGTACAGTTTCTCCATTCATTCTTGCATTTCTTCCCCATTTTTATGCTGTATTTTATGAACAGCCGTCACTTTCATCTTATACTAGTACTTATCCAAAGGTAGCAGAGGAAAAAAAAAGATGATGCTATTCTATTTATAATACCATACAGCTGTTCAAACACAGGCCATTTTAGGCCTAGTATAATTTTCAGAAACTATGCCACATTGGATGCTAACTCTGATGGTCAGATTTAGTTCTACACTAAACCCAAGGCCTCCAGGAAAGTGTCTGCCCAGCTATTTGAATTTATTTTAAAGAAAACTCAGCAAGTTATGACAACTCAAGAATGACAACAAACCCAAACCCCTGATGAGATGTATTTTCCATCTCATTGCAAAGGACAGCAGTTAATTAAAAATAGGTGTATTTACTTACATCAATGGAAATGCAAAAAATGGAAGTGTCATAATCAACCTTGCTGTCCATTCATCAGGAAGACACCACAAATACACAACTAAACAGGTAATAAGATAAAGAAGTGAAGAGTAGAGGAGTAGCCTTCCAACCCATAGTTTCTGGAGTCTCTGATTTTTTTCTCTAAATTCTTCTAATGTCTGTATTTCCTGGAAATAAATGGGAATTCAAGAGTATTAAATTAGTTGGTGGTTCTAAGCTGTCCTCCAATGTTTGTTAAAATTAGTCTCATCAGTTTAATAACTGACAATGCTTGATGAACAGATAAAGCTTTCATAGCAAACTACATCACAGTGTAAAGGTTACATGTGCCAGTCTCAACACAGCACTGCTGGGCAAGTAATATTATAAATTAGCACATTTTTCTTTATATAATGATTTAGTAAAACTGGGACGAGGAGGCATAGTAGCTTCTGAATGCCAACTTTTCTATGTTTATGCAAGTCTGCTACCACCATACTTTGCATCCTAAAGCTTCCATCAGACATCTGTGGTATTTCAGATGCTTCTAATACTACCCTAGTAACATGCAAAATTGTCGAAATTTCAGTCATCTCAGATATGTTTTCATTTCAGTATTTCCTCATATTCAGAATGAAAAACTGAACATCTGAATTACGCTTTTTGCATATTAAGAAGTGATCAAGCAATGCTATTCTGTGTTACTACTATGATTGCATTTCGAGTGACAGCAGACATACTTTCATTAAAAGGAAAAAAAATATCAACAGTATATTTCAAAGCAGTTAATTTTCCCATGTAGCACAGAAAGTTGTCACAAATTCTGTCTATAATCACAACTGATTACTAAGCTATCTTCAGTTATTCTGCCCATGACCTTACCTATTATCACTGTAGGTAGAATTATAATGCTTAAAAGCATATATGGATGCTTTATTAATGTATCTGATGAATCAACCTTTGCTTTAGTGACATTTTCTGGGGAACATAAAAGAACTTAACCATTAACTATAATTAGATTGCCCAGTCAAGCCAAGCTCACATTCATTTCCATTACAGTCTTTCTAAATGTATATTTAAACTATGGTGTGCTACAGTGGCTTCTGTTTTTTAATGATTAATGGTAATGGAAATAAAGGTAGTAGTACGTCTGAAACTGATTCTTTAGCCTATCCGACCAGAATAACTACCAAAATAATTTAAATTTCATTGCAGTATTTTACATTTGTATGAAGAACTGCTAGCAAAAGGACATTTTTGGACAAAAACAAATCACCACAAACACACACATACCTTATCAATTTTTTCTAATACTTCTACAGTGGAAGGCTTTGCCTGCTTACATAGGAAAGAAAAGAGATGTTAATCTTAAGAAAATTCATCATCTTGAGAGTTACTTCAGGATAACAGCTTCCTAACAAAAATACACATATCATAATAGATTAATATATTGTCTACTTAACACAAAAAGTAACCAGTTCTCCTACCTCTGATTGTCATTATTACTGAATTCCTTTCTTTTACAGTTATCTGAAGGTCTCCTATACCACAAAAGATAGAAGGCTACAACAAACACGCACAACAAAGTATATGTGGGTAGGAATAGAGTCAAGGAGAGAACTGATGAGCAGGTGGAAAAGGTAAAAAGGGAACAAACCAAGAACCTCATTATGAAAACTTCATCTTTTGCAACTTTTCATTCCACAAAGACACATGCTCTACACAAGTCATAAGCACTTGCAAATAAGTTCTAAACCTCAGTAAAACTCTCCTTAAGAAAACCTGAAATCCATCTACAGTTCTTCCCTGGTTTCTTAGAGGTATGAAGCTGTTATTTTTCCCATCCTTCAGAACACAAATTAAAAAACCACAGCCTACCCCACATAATAGACAGAGACTCCCAAATTCCATGGTGATGCAAAAACTAACATTTTGCTTAAACTCTTGCCTTTAAAGGTAGCTTTGTATAGGAAGCTCTCAGATAGTTTTAAAACAGGCAAAGACAAGCCTAGGCTGAAAACTTGCACCTGTGACCACTTAAGAGTGGTCACAAACCTCACACCCCATCCCATCTAAGCTTTCCCATAAACTCAGTAGACCATTCAATAACAGAGAAGGCAATAAAGATAATTAGGAACGATGTATATTACATGTAATATAAAACTATACCTACTAAAATATTTGAAGTTTAAAACAGATGATACTCTGAATGCCTCATACTCTGAATATATCTATTTTCATCTAAAAAACTACCAAGCTTTAAAGTTTACTATATCTATCCTTATGAAGCAACACTTAACTACTTAGAGCTAGTCAAAACTTCCAAAACCAGAGTTTTAACTTAAAACAAACCATCATTAGAAATTCATCATTAGAGAGAAAAAAAAAAAAAAAAAAAGAACACACACACACCACACACCAAACAGACACACAAAACACATCCATCCACTACAGTTTTGGGCTCTTTTGGAGGACAGGGGACAGAAACCCTGGTCACTAGGTCTCACACCCACTTGGCTACTGACATTTAAATCAGTATATTTATAGGAAAACTTCATCATTAACATTCAACCATAAAGAACAAACAGAGAATTACAAGAATCCTATCAAGCGATTAAGAACAGTATGTCCTGGAAACTCCAATCTTCTAGACTAACTGAAGGTTATTAGATTGTAACAAGGTTTACTTACCCTCCATCTCGAAATTAATCCACCCATCTTCTATGTCTGGGCAAGTGTTGGTAGATTTAATCAATCTTCCACTACAATTCAGAGCTAGAAGTAAAGCATTAGGTACTTAAGTGTTATCTACAATATATTCCAAGATTAAACAATTTATTGCAATACCCAAAACATTTCATAAAATCATGGCCTAGTTATCTACCTTTAATTATTTTAAAATCCGATCTTCCATTTTATAGCTCCACTTCTTTTAAGTCAGTTCATCACCCCTGACACAACCAAAACTTATTTTTACTTTGGAAATACTTAAACCAGAAGAGAGCCCTGAGAAGTGGAGCCACAAAACAACTGTTTGAAGAAAGGCCAAAATCCTAACAAAACCAACTTACCAAATTATTCAGGTAGATTATTTAAGAACACGATTTCCAATTAACACCTCGGCCACTCATAACTCACAGTGCTTCTTCTCAGCCTATCACTCCAGACATACACCATTAATATCCTACGCCTCATGATGAGGAGGAATTCTTCAATAAGCTTTAATGCTTCCCTTTAATGCTTTAACCAATATGACCTTATGGTGTAGTGCTATTATTCTTCACTGGCAAGATTAGTTTGAAGTACAAATGACCAGAGTTTAAAATCCAGCTATGGAGACTTTGCCCACATTGACAGGGGCTCCCCGCACACAGCACAGAGTGCAGCCACCAGCGTATCAAGTGGCACTAAAGCCATTCCACAGAGGCAAAAGTAGCTCATACTCTAGACAAATGTGGAACCTAGGAACAGCAGTAATTCAATGAAATAAAAGCATAATTCCTTCCCATCAGTATCTGGCTAGAATCAATTCACATTGAATCACAGGACAGCATAATATAGCAGAATTTCTCTCCAGTCATTTAATTCACAAGATTTTTACCCAGTGAATGAAAGAGTTACCATCACAGCAAACTTAACAGGAAACTAATGCTCAATTAGAGCATTACTACAACAAATTAGAAACTAGTCTTTTTTAAGCCTTAACTCTGTAATTAAATAATAAAATTTGGGGGGGGGGGGGGGGGGGGAGGAGGGGAGAGAGAAAAGAGTACTGGTCTACCTAGAAAGAAATCTAAGATAGACATAATTATTAGTGTAGTTATTAAATTGCCTTTGGCCAAAAACAAAAAAAGCAACATCATTTAAATCCAAATTTGTTCCCAAAGTTACCTGAAACTGCCAAAAAAATTAACTTAGTATCAGAGTGTTCACCAGAACTAATGCAGTCTGGCAAGCTCTTCACTCTAATACAACCAGAGACTTTTGAATCCAGAATGAAGATTTTGAAAAACAATCCTTGCAGATAGTAAGAAAATCCATATTTGAACTGCCATGAAAGTGAAGCTCAAAGACACCCGCCATCTCTCCACTGTAAAATTACCAGCACTAGGAGGGTGAGCTACAGAAAATAAAAAGCAGTTACCTCTGGGTCTCTGGAATAACTTCTCAAAGTCCCTACTACAGCAACTGAGCTCAGTAAAACAAAAGCAACAGTTTTATTTTTCAAATGCACAACTCTACTGTTCGCTAACCCTGAGAATTTTATACAATTTCCATGTGGTGATTACAGGTCAGATTCTACATGCCAAGTACTGCAGCAGACCCTATTTGGGCAAACACGCTCTTCACAAAGACTTGGACGAGAGACGGTGTCTTTATTGCAAAATGACACAAACGCTATACCAAAGGCTCAAAATCGTCAGTTAAGAAGTCTGTAAGCTTAGCATGAAGTTCACACATCTCTCTTGCTTCCCTAACACTGACACTATTGCTAGGAGCAAGGGCATCTCTCAGCTATGGGCCTGCACACAAACACATGTGAACTGTGATACTCCCATGGCCTTTTCATATGCATCTCTGGCACCACAGCTTGAGATCCTGCGCAGTGCAGGTGCTGGGAGAGAGGTACACAAGAGCCACTGGTGACATCTTCATCAACAGTCCGTGCACTGGAGTACATTATTTCAACATAGCTGGCAAATATCTCAGAGGGAAACAGGCTTGACAAGTGTCACCACACATAATTTCACATTAACTATGATGCTGATAGGCTCACCTACACTGCTTTATGTTAAGTAATGCTACTGAAATCCTCTCTCAAACTAATAAGGGTAGAAATTAAATTCACAGTTTACACAGTGAACCCTTATTTTTGCAGACAAAGTTTTCACCTGCCCTTGTAGAGTACCTCAAAAATTTCCCTTCTCTCTTCCTCCGCATCTTTTCGATATGGCCACAACATTCCAGAACCCACCCCTCACATCCTACTCTTGATGTCAACACTATTGCCTCTACAAGCCCTGTGCTTGCCCTCCACAGCACTTGTGCTTGCCCTCCACAGCACACAGCACTTGCCCTCCATAAGACACAGTGACTTGGCCTATTTCCACACAATTTAGTATGTGAATGAGACACCTGCAACAACTGCTTTCTGTTGCCTTAAAAGGAACAGGGGAAATATTCAAAAAACACAATGTAGAAGCTGTATTATCTGACCAGCTCAAAAAAAAAAAAACCACTCTAAATGTCCTCATAGTATCTTTTTAACACCCAAAATATGCAGCTTAATAAGTAAAACACAAAGTAAAAATACAGCCAGTAAAAGAATTACAGAGCAGAAAGCTGATGGATTACGCACACTTACAAAACAGTCATCCACCAACCTTTTAATCTAAATAAAATAGCTTGACAAATTCATTACAATTTTATCAAGGCATGCAGTGGAGCAGACTGCTTTCTTCAGCTAAGAATGGGAGCATTTTGTGTCTCCTGTTGGACTTAGGGTGGATTCCAAACAAAAACAACAGATACCCCAGGAAGAGCCCAAAGCAAAGATGAAAAGCATGCAGAACATCTTTTGTGTCAGTCCCCAGACTCTTCAAGCTACTTTCAACCTCGTTTTAAGATGAAGAGCTTTAAAAAGAGCTCTTCACCACCGTACAGTCAAGGAAGTCAAGGCCTGTCCAAGGCAAACCAATTCTCCCGTCCTGTAGCCAGTTTCCATGTGAAATTCACCTTTCCTACTTTCCCGCAACTCACCAACTTCCATGGTGACTGTGAGGTTTCCTTTGCTACAAAAGCCCGGGACAAACAAGCGAGCAGAACAGAACCGGGACACCATCCACTACCTGCTGGTCTCAGCACCTTTCAGAGAAACCAAGCACCTGATCTTGTTCATTTTTAAAATTCACTTTCACAGAACTCCACATGTAAGCACCCAAAGACCTTATGCTTTAAAACCCTCAATTAGAAAGATAAACTCAGCTTCCAAAAGTGTCTTTAAGCAATCCATAAAGGAATGGGGCGATCCGGCGCTCCTGGGCAGGCTCAGCCCAGAGCAGCTGCCCCTCCAGCCGCCTGCGTGAAGGCTACGGGTGGGACTGGGG